TTATGATAAATATGATTGATTACAATGTAAATCGTATTTTGCAAGTAACTCTGTAGTCAGTTAAAATGAGACATTCAAGAAAAATCATTTCAATAAGTACAGTAATCAATTATTCATTTCTTCAATTGAAGTATTATGAAGAATAATAAAAGTTATTTTCTTGTTATTTAATCCGAATTGCTTTTTTTTGTCGTATCCATAGAATAATTTTAAATAACTACATTTTGATTATTCAGTGTAAGTTAAGTTGATTTTTTTCTCGTTCAGCATTTTTTAACGTATAATCATAATTGTAAATCTACTAACATTTGACCATAGATACACTTGTAGAATAAATCTATATAAATAAAAATACTATGTTCTACAACTGAATGTCACGAACTCAAGGATATGGGACTTGGGATTTGAAAAAGTGATGTTACGAGTAAATGATGCTCTGGGCCAAGGTAAACTGGTCTTACTTACATCAACAATAGAAGTAGTGGTAGGGGCCTATTCAAGCAACAAAACTCCAAGCCCTTTGACTATGCGAAGATTTTTCATGACTTCGATCAAAATAGATCCAGTGTCTTATCTTAAAATCTTAATTCTCAAAGTGCGCATCAAGTATTATATGCGATCAAAGTGTGCTAGTAGAAAATATGCGAATCCTCGCGTAATCCATAACTTTGAAGTTCTATATCTTTGCTATTTCAGTATTTTTCGTATTATTTGTTGAAAATAAAAGTTTGTAGATTTAATTACCGCTATAAAAAATCTTTTGATTTACAGCTATGACCGGAAAATGGTGTCTGATGCAGTGTAATTAAGACTTTTTACCAAACATCTTAAATAAAAAAAAATCCCAGAAAAAGTAGGGATTTTATGACGTTCTCATCTTCAAGTTTAACGATGGAAACAAAATGTGAACGAAACGATACGGAAACTAGAATTTAATTTTAGTTTCTTATTGAATTCGTGTGTAAGAGTTATACTGGGTATAGGTTAAAGTCTTATTAAAAAGTTTATTTATATAAATAACGTGCAAATATGTAAAATTTGAAAATAACATGTAGAATAAAGTTGACACAGATGAATTTATTTCGTGACATTTGATTCGTGTTCTGATGTAATGAATTTTATGAAGTCGCGATTGTCATGTTTCATCATACTGTTACGCCTCCAGTCGTTACTTGATTTTCCGTAACTTCGTTCCGACGAAACTTTAGCGACATAGGTCCTTACTTGATAAAACTGGTTTATTCTTTCTGAATATAACTTTACCGATACACTTATTTCAACAGTCGCTCCATAACAAACGTTTTAACAACGAACCTTAACTCCAACAATACTTTCTGATTGCAGTTCAATTACTCACTACCTACACACATATATTATCACGTCACGCCGTGACCATCTTATATATACCAGACCACCCCCCAATCTAGTAAATGCTAGAGCACTCTCGAAGGAACGGGATAGTTTTAGAAAGCAGGTGGCGTGACATTAGTCACGTGACCTCGCTGACGCAACAATACCAACTTTTCAGAAAGTTAGTCAGTGTTGCCACAAGAGGGTATATCTGTACTATTTGGGTACATTGTAAGGACTTGTGGTACTTGATTCGCCTTTTAGATTTGTGATACGTTTTCAAACGTTAAAGAGTATATGTTTTAATTGCCTATAATCATATACTATAGAGAGAGGGATAACTGATAAAAAAACTTACGACACTAACAGTAATAGCAGAGTCTCTGATTGATGACCTTGAGTTTCAATTAAACTGGATATTTCTAGGTTAAATCCTTATTTCATTCATTTTCGGAAAAATACAGTCTCAATACAAAAACTAAACTTGATGGTAGCCAAAGACATGCAGCGAGCAACATGATGAGGGAAACAATGATACATAGAAGTGGAAGTGGGAGATTTGGTGTGGGATGGGCATGTGCAAGGCTTGAAATTCTTTCATTTTATTGTAATGTAAATTTAGTACTTTGTTTCTGACATCGGGATATGATTATAGTAATAATATATTAATGACATTAAACCGATCTAGCTATCTTTGTAGTGACTTTATATAAATGTATAGGAAATATAGCGATCATCAAGATGAATTGAATTCTATCGATATGTTAAACACTTGTTAACTTGTACCCGATATATTTTATTTTTATTTTTGAAGTTCATGTATAAGAGTGCTTAGCAGATATTTTTTAACCGTATAACATCGTCATTACTAGAAATAAATGTTATGACTGAAAATAGTTCGTGAAAGGTAATATTTTCTTGAACTAAAAAAAAAGTAATATGGGGAGCATTCTTTGTGAAGAGCTGGGGAATGTACATAGTTGTTGATTGGATAATATGTTCATTTCTGCCTATTCCTCCACGGCCACATTTTCAAATATGGACCAGAATATTCCTGGTACTCACGCTGCCTCTTCTGGTGGGACACTAAATGATAAACCAACAATTTTGGTTGGTATAGCACACTAAATGAGCGTCATTTATTAATTTTGGTTTTTTTTTTTTTTTTTTTTTTTTTTTTTT